GGAGGAAAGATGTCATTGGTTAATACAAGGTAGTTGATCATTAGTTTTTTTACTGTCAAAATTGTTGAAAATGAAAAATGGGGAAAAGAGAAGAGCAGCTGGAACTATCAAATGTTCAGGAGCCATCAATCTGTTCCTCCCTAGGACAAAAGGTGATCTGCATGTCTAACACTAACAGAAACTGATGACATGATTGAAATTGGAGGCAAAAGTCACCTAAAAAGAAATTTTATGTGGCTTAGGAAGACGTGAGTTTTAAAAGGTTTTACAATAAATCATCCTTAAAATGTGTATTTTAAAAATCACGTGAGTATGGCTCAATATTCATATTGGAAGCTAAATCACTGCATAGTTGAATATATGGCAAATTTTGCAGTAGTTATGCCTGTAGTAATGCTAACAAAGAATCCTTGTGTTAGCAGAGTTGTGGCTCATTAGTAATGATCAGGGGAGAAAAGTCATTAGGATAACATATTTCTTGTGGAAAAATTAATTGAATTTCATCCATTATTTCCCAGCCACAGCTACTATATTTAAAATTAGATTATATAGGATATAACCTATCTGTGTGGGTTTCTGTAAGCAAATATCAACTTTTTTTTTTGTTTGTTTTGGAAAATAAAACTGGAGTGGAAAATGGAGCACAGCCATAATAGATACAGGCTGTGTATTTGAGGCTTTCAGTATTGAATTAGAGATATGGAAATAAGTAAATCCAGAGTATTATTTTCTCTCCCTCCTTCTCCCTCATTCTTAAATATTTTCATTACCTTCTGCCTGACTTTAGAAGAAAATAACATTTCCAAAGTAAATTCCCTTTTTTTTTAAACATAAATACAGGCAATTGTAACTGAGTTCCTTAAAACCCATCTGTCATTATCAAGGTCAAGCATGCTGGTCATTCTCTGAGAAAATTGTTCAGTCATCACTTGGTTGTACTTGAAGAAAGAAAATACAGTCAGTTTCTAAATTCAATTTTGAGCCAACTTCTAAATTCAGATTTCTTTATTGGCAGATCAAAATCACTGGGGAATTTTGTGGGTTTTTTGTCCATAAGCATATCAAGAGAACTTATGGCATTTTTGTTGGGAGCTTGCTTTTATACCTTTACAGCCTTACAGATTTTTATAGCTTGGATTTATTTGCAAGCAAACACAATAAAAGATTTAAGACAGTCGTTTAAATTGGGAGTAACTTCTTCTGAAAGAAGTAAAAATCCTTTATTTTTGGGTTAGTGAAGTGACTGCAGAATTAAACACAAATAGAATTCAATTTAATTTTTTTTTTTTTACTTGAAAGGCTTTTTAATTTTTTTTTTTAAATTACAACAGAAAAAGGCTTTTTCTGTTTGCTTGATCACAAGTGCATTCAAGTTATAAAGATTTTGCAGAGTCAAGTGCAAAATGGTTTTCCCAAGGTACCCTTTGATTTTCCTTCTGTCCTTCTATGGACAGAAATCAGTGAGGTTTTATTTAATCCTTTATTAATGACAAAGAGGAGGTTTGCTGGATTTCAGAGCTGGCCATGAGCCTGCTAAGAATATTATTGTGTTTCTGTAATGAGCTCACCAGAACAGCAACTCTTTGGTGCAAAGAGAGAAATTCCATGTAAACATGAGGAAGGATTTCTTTCCTCTGATTGCCCAGAGTAAAGGCTGTGCAGAATCCCTCGCTGCAGATGTTGCAGAACATCTGGACACGAAGCTGTGCCCTGTGCTCTGGGATGGCCCAGCTGGAGCTGGGAGCAGTGACCACTGTGGGTCCTTCCAGCCTGACCCCACCTGGGGTTCTGTGGTTTTGGGCAGGGATTCCTCGTGTTTTCCCACATTTATAAATAAGGCAGTGCAGTCTGAGGTAGAGGTGATCATTTATGGGATGCTGTAATATGACAGAAGTCATAATCCTCAGTAAGGAAAATATTTCTGATATTTCCTCTATTTTTCCTTTATTCTCCATTCTCTTTTGTTTCAGTGTTCCACTCAGAAGCCCTGGGAAAGGATTAGTTTGCCCAAAACTTGGGGGATTTTTGCCTGCTATGTCACTTGCCTTAATAAAACAGTTTACTTCAAATTCCACCTAGTTATGATTTAAGAAGAGATTTTTGTCATGTTAATCCCAGTCTTGGGTTTGTACTATTACAGTCAGAGTGCCACTATCACTCCTTACTCCTGCTAGCAAAGTACAACTCCTTCCACTGCAAGTCTTGCCTCAGGAAACCCTATGGTTAAGCAGGTTCTTCACAAGAAAAGAAATTCAGCTCTTGTGCCAATCCAAAGAGAAACCAGCATGAACTCGTCCCACGAGCTCCCCGTGCTCTGCTCTGGCAAGGCTGGGGCTGGTCTGTAGCTGTTCTTACTCTGGAGTTTTGAATTATCGGTGTGTGATGGGACAGAGTGTTTGTATCGGTTGGAGTCCCTCATTAGATGGATTGTGTCAGGGCAGGAGCCAGGGGAGGGCAGCTCAGAAGTGGAACACGTGGAAGGGAGCTCAGCTGAAGCTTTTGGATTGTTTGAGGGCATAACAGTGCCACTGCAGATGGAGAATTGGGACAATAGTGGGATTTGGAGTGGCCTGTTTGCCTTTCCTCAGCAAGGGAAGAGGAAAGGGAGAAATGCTACCTGTAAAGTGGGGGAGAAAAAAGCAACAATCAGAATTGCCACGTCTGCTTGGGATTCAGGTGGCTGCACATCAAATTACCTCTAACAGTCTGACTGCTGATTGCTACTATTCATGAAAAGTGGCTTTATTTTAGTTCTGAAATATCCCAGGGCAACAGCTCTCCCCTTCAGTTTTCTCGTCTGAATCACTAGAATGTTCTCTTTTTTAATTTTCTCCTTGACCCTCCTCCCACTCACCCTTTTCCACACACATTTAGCTGCATTCAAAGGGATAGTGAGGAAGTGGTTTTCAGTCCATCTCATAGAGCCAAAACACTCCTGCAAAGTGCCCCCCTTAAATTTTGGGAGGAACGAGCTGCCAGAGGAAGGTTAGTTGGCTGAAGGGAAGGTAACATGACAAAGAACAGCTCAAAGGCATAGTGACAATTTTACCTGACTTCTTTTCAGTTAATCACATCTGCTTCTGGACACCCAGGCGCTGTTAAAGCACGTTACCTTTGGAGCCTGTCACCTCAGCCTGGCTCCTTTCTTTGTCTGAAACACCTAAAATCAGTTGACCTTCAAGTTACAGGGATGTTTACCTAATCATCGAGAAGTGAAGAGATTGATTGCACTTAGGATCCTGCTTGCTTGGACTGGTACTTAAGGCTGCATTTCATTCTCCCTCCTGATTTATAAGAGATGCTCACTTTACTGCTACTTGTAATCCTCAGTTGAAGCTTTAGTACAGTCCTAGATCAACAGAGATGGGCTTTCAAGTGGACAGTGTAAATGATAAATCCTGCACTAACAATGTGGCAACCTGTCCTAGGAAAATACCCTTTAGTTCCATTGCCCTTTAATGGCTCTCTTGTGTTGGCCATTGGATCCCATTTATCTCAATCCCGGGGGTATTTTAAATCAGAAGTGCTTTGGGGAACTTAGCAATAGTGATATTAATCACTCCCGTGGTGCTGACAATATGGAATGGTTTGAGTGGGGCATCCTTTGATGCTGTCTGGTGTTAATGATAGCAATAATGAGCTTTGCAGTTGACAACATCATTTGCCTTGAAGGATCACTTCAGATAACAAAAACCAGAGGTTTGTTGTGCAAGGACCGGTTGTTCACACACACCAGCACTGTTTTCCTTCCCAATAGAGGAGTTATTTATTGCTAGGAGACAGCAGTTTCCTCTGTCCCAGGGATGTGTTGTTGATAATGCTGTAGAAAGCCCCATATTTCCAGACACGTACTGTGAATAATCAAAATCTGAGAAATGACTTCATTCTGAGCCAGGTGTAAAATTACAACAGGAGATATAAATGCAAGTACCTGTATAATCCTCTGGCTTCATTGGTTCCAAATGTTTTAAGTTCTCTTCTTTTTGTCTGTATTCTTATTTTCATCCTGTCACTGGATTGCCTGGGAGCTGGCAGATAAACTTCCTGTCTAATATGCAGATTATGTGATTAAAATTACTGATATTTTGATATGTCCCGTTTTGTGCTTTCTGACTGTATATTGTGTAACCAAGGGTTTTGTACTTAATTATAAGCCAAGCATTAAGTGGCACGTGCTGGCAGGATGCCTGCTCCATAGTTTTTCATTTTTTATGTTTCTTGTGTGTTCTTTCAAAGCCTCAAGTAATGCAATGTATTTTCTGAGTAATTGTAATGCTGCTTTAGGAATAACTTTACAGCTCCTCAGAAGTTACCAAAAAATTCTCCACCCACCAGCACTGGCTGATGGCTGAGCCTGGTTAATAGATTGTCTCTGATCTCGAGTTGCTACCATGTAAAATGGAATATCTGGAATATTGTTCAGTAATCTGAACTGGAAAATTAAGGAATTGCAGCTGGATGATGGGTGAGATTGGAAAGGCTGTTATAAGAATCCTGTTCTGCCCATATTGCTGCAGGAAATGCTCCTGGCTCTTTTATAGTAATATGTTTTATGAAACACCCTTAGAAACAATCAGTTCTCCCCAGTATCAACACTGATACTTAGGGGTTAAAATCAATAGGAGCTCACTGTCTCCTGTTTCTGTAAATCCATAAATCCAGTCTCTATGCCTTGCTCTGGGAAGTGGAAGGGCCAGACTTTGTATCAGATTAAGATGAGTTAGAGTAGATCGAGGCTTAAGGGTTTTTCCAACAGAATAACTAAAGATAGACTATTTTACCTTCTTTTTGTATTATTTAATTTTTATTTTCCTCATTCCGTTTTAAGCTGAATTCTAATTATTCTGGTTATTCCACCAGCACTCCAATTTAGCCCAGAGAATACTGAGAACATAACATGTTTCTGTGACTGCTAAAAGCCCAGATTTCATTTGGTACTTTCTATTTGTTTTCTTTGCTAGAACATGGACATTCATATTTATGACCTTCTTGTTTTCCAGCACCTCCCAGATGGCTCTGCCCCAAGTGCACACGCTGAATTTCATCTTCTGCCAGACCCTTATGGGGTCAGCAGAAGGAAAACAAGAACAGCTCCAAAAGGCTCTGACCCTACTTACAATGAACTTGTGAGTACTGTTCACTTCCTTCCAGCCTTTCTTGTGCCATGGAACCACAGAGTGGGTCAGGCTGGGAGGGCCCCAGTGGTCACAGCTCCAGCAGGGCCATCCCAGGGCACAGGGCACAGCACAGGGCACAGCACAGGGCACAGGGCACAGGGCACAGCTTTGTGTCCAGATGGTTCTGGGGTATCAGCAGTGAGGGACACCCCAAACCCTCTCTGGACAAACTGTTCCAGTGCTCAGTCACTGCTCAGGGAAGTTCTTCCTCACTTCCATTCAGGTGGAACCTCCTGCACTTCAGCTCCTCCCGTTGCCTCTTGCCCCATTTCTGGCCCCACAGAGCAGAGCCTGGTACCTCCCCTGACCTCTCTCAGACACTGGCACCCGTGGATGTCTCAGCCTTCTCTTTGCCAGGGGGAACAGGTCCAGCTCACTCAGGTTGTTCTCCTGGCCCCACCATCTCCAGAACCTTTCACTGGACTCACTCCAGTGGTTCCCTGCTTTTCCTGAGCTGGAACTGAACACACCACTCCAGATGTGCCTCACCAGGGCTGAGCAGAGAGGCAGGAACACCTCCCTCCACCTGCTGTAATGCTTTTCCTGATGCTTTTTGGCCACAGGGACACAGTGCTGGCTCATGGACAGCCTGCTGCCCACCAGCACCCCCAGTCCTTCTCACCCACAGCCCACACAGGGGCAGCTTGTTTTATTTGCTTTGCCCACCCTGGAAATAAAACAACAATGCAGCATTTTTAGAGCTGTTGCAATGAGGATGACCAAAAAGAAGGAATGTATCATCAGCTGAACCACAAATGGGAACTGTCTGCTCTGCATCTTTCTCAGAAGTGAAACAGTGTCTTTTATTTCCCTCTTCAGGAAAGCAGTTGGATTTTTCACAGTGCTCTGTCTTACCCCATGAGCACAGTTACATGTTAGCCAAATGAGACCAAGCATCATTGCACCATAACCCAGCAGTGCTGAGTGCAGATGTGCACAATAGCATGAAAAGGATTCATTCAATGGATGCTGTTATTCAAATTAACATTTGAAAATTCGTTGTCACTGTCCTAAATGATAACACAAGAATAAATAGCCAGGTTCTTTTCATATTAAAATGCCATCAGCTCACAGCTATATATGATTATTTCACACACCACTGAAGTGCTCGTGCCTCTGGGGTAAAAGGAAACATTTGTTTGGAGAAACATTTATGGCAGGATGGGAAGTGGTATCAACTGTGTTCGTTTGTAAGGAGAGATGAGATTGAAACAGTAGGTGGGATTGGAGATTCTAATTATTACACTTAACAAATCTTCTAAAGACCTCAAAGTAATTTTCAAATGCTCTTTCAGCAGTCTATAAAGTAGAATATGGAGAATATTACCACTCCACCCTGTTTCATAGCTGATGTGATGAAGCTTAGGTTAATCAGCAGAGTCTGAGTGCTTATCTCTTAGTTTCTCAGTCCTGGAGTTCTAATATTTCTCTTTTCCCACATTTGTTAATTACAAAAGTTGCCTGCTTACCCTGATGAGTTCCAGTGTTCTGTAAGGAGTCTCCTTGAGCAGTGTTGCTGCTCAGACAAATTTCCCTCCCTCCAGTACTGCAGTGGAATAACAGGGAGCTAGGCTTTATTTTTTTGTTCTTTCCTTCTTTTTTTGCTATCAGAGCTGAATTCATCTAAGTAATCTGTCTAAAGAAATTCCTTTACATTTGAAAGATATAGAAAGCAAAGGAACATAATAGGATTATATCACAACATTCATTGTAAGGTATCCAAAATGGACAACAGATAAGAGCCAGCCAGGAAGACAATTATCTTTCAAATTGTTCTTAGATCCCTCTAAGAATGCAAGGAAATCCAAAATCCTGTCTGCAGTTAGTCACTGGGAGGAGATTTAATTGTGCTTCACGAGTATTCCACTGCCAGTAAAAGAAATTCCATGAAGACTTTAATGTCCTTGATCAAAACAGAGAGCCTTCTTCCCAGATGCTCAATCTTCTTCACTGGGAAGTGCTAAACACAGTGGGGACATATGGTTCCACTGAACTTGGCCATTTGCAACCCCATGCCTGTGCTTCTGCAGCTCTGCTCCTCCATATGTGATGTCATTCTGGATGCATTTTTTTTGTCCAAGGCTGGTAGACTGAGGTAGAAGCTGCCCCAGGGAAGAAAAAGTACTAAAAATATAAATCAGCTGTCTCTTAAGTTAGTTACTGTCCAAAACACTGTGTACAGAAATGTAGTAGCCTTTTTTATGAGTTCATAAGTTTTTATTAAAGCCAAATGGCTGGAAGGAAGCTGTATATTAATTTCCTTCTTTGTTCCAGACTGAGAAAAATCTGAAATGTGCTTCTCTTGGGTATTTTTGATTTTAGTTTTCGTACTTCTATTGCTTATGACTGCCTACAGCAAATTATCAACCTTGCAAAACTGCTTTTTGTGTTTGATTTTTACTCATGTGTGTGAGACTGAAGATGTGAAAGTCCAGGAGGGCTGACAATAAAATGAGTTACAGCAAATGTTTCGCAGTTGCTTTTAGCAAACAAATCCTTTTCTCTTGTGCCTGTATTTGGATTTTGGAACTTGTGGCATTCACGGTAGTTAATGTTGTATTGTGTTAAGAAGTGGTGGTAGAAAAGAAAAGGAGAAAAATGGCAGCAGCCCCAGCCGGTTCAATGGAAGGGAAGGAAGGGAACTGCAGCAGCAGCCACGGCCACTCCCTCCAGCACCATGCATCCAAACTACCTTGCATTAATTACCAAACCTAGGAACTGTGCCATGGCTGCCTAAGGAGAAGCAACTGTCCCTCATTTGTGATTAAAATGTCATTAGACTCCTGTAGGTCACCAGTGTTTCTCTTTTTGGAGCCAGGAATAGTTGAATTCCAGCCCAAACTGTCCCCCTGATTTGCTGCATGGCCATGTGTAACTCACCTCCATCTGATTCTCTGTGTAAAAGGCAGGCAAATATTCTCACTGCACTGTCATTTCAGGATTTAACTGTTCCCAAATTCTGGCAGGTGGCATTTGTTCTATCCACATCCTAATTCAGGCAGACCTTTCTTGTGTCCCTACATCCTGATGATAATGTACCCCTTACTGCAGCTGAATTTACAACACCATTTTAGAAAGAATTCACTGGGATCATTTGAAAACCACCCACCCTGCACTGTAAGGTTCTGTCATTGCTCAGAGATTAAAGCCTTTTTTTTGTCCAAAGATTGAAAGTTGTTCAATAAGCCGGTTCAGTTTCTTAGCATTTACAGCTGATAGTTGTAGTTTTTGGTGATTTAAAGCAACAGCTGGTACCTTTAATAAATTGGCAAAGAGACAAGGCAGCTTTCTTTGGTAACATTGGCATCGCCCCAGCAGCAGATCACAGATTTCTTCTGATTTGTTTTATGCTTACTGTGCCTGTCCTTGCTTTTCAGATTTTCTTCATAATCTCACTTTTATTTTGTGAGGGGAAGAGAAGCCGTGGAATTTGTAATTCACAGACAGTTTGGCAAAATAGTCACAGGAAACGGGAAAACCAAAAAGCACCAGGTGTAAATTTCCCGACAGCCATCCCAAATTATTATTATTTCCAAAGGTTTTTTAAATAGAAAAGGAAATGTTAACTCCCTGGTAAGGGCTGTCTTGGTGTCCTGTCCATTCCCTGCTCCCTGGGAAATTGCTGCAGGTCCAGGCTAGGGGGGCTCATGTGCCTTCCCTCCTCCTCCTCCTCCTCCTCCTCAGAGCCTTAGCTGCAGCCTGCACTCCCATTCCATGGGAAATCCCAGCAGGAAAACGCCTGCTAGGCAGGGTGAGTTTCCCATTTTCCTGAAGTGAGACCACGTCACCACGTTTGCTTTTTAATCAGCATAGATTGATTCAAATTTCAAGTGTTTTTTCCATTGCAACTAAAATAGCAAAACCAGCCACACAAATTTTAGATCAAATGAATTTCTCTTAAGTGAGCTCACCTTTCCAGCCTGCACTGAGAACTTTCCTTCCCATTTTATCAGCCCACATGCAGCTCACTCAGCAGTTTTTGATTAATGCAAAGACTGAAGCATGGGAATCTGAGTGCAGCTTATTCTTGTTTGCTCTAGATTGTTTGTTGTTTTTTTTTAATTCAGAGAATACACCATTATAATTTCATACCTAATCCCTGTGTGTTCTCGTAGTATTAAGCTATTTTAAATCTATAGGCATTAGCAATTTTTTAAGAGATGCTAAAGTACTGTCTCATTTATTTTGAGAAATCTCAACAGCACTTTTGGAGTATCAGAAACATTTAAATTTATTGACTTCCATTTGCTAAACTGGGTCCAATCTTTTCCAGTTTTCATTGGAAAATTATGAATACTGGTTTTTTTTCTCTCAAGCATTGTTCAAGACAGATTTCAAATTTATTTTTAAATGATAATCAGATCTCACAAGCCCAAGCTCATGATTCTAAGGTAGAATCTCTTTTTATAAACTAGATAAAGTCAAATGTATTTCTGAGGTAAATTCACTAAGTTGTGAATTTGGCTCATGGTTAATATCTTACTATTCTGGATGGAAGTTTAAAGCAATTATCACAAAGTTGGATTAATCATCATCCTGAATGCTGCATTGAAGTCGAACAGATTACCAAACTTGTGTGATTTTTCTGTTTCACTGTGTATTATTTCAGATTGTGTATGCCAGAGTCACAGAGCTCCAAGGCCGTGTGCTGAAGCTGGTTGTGAAAAGCAAAGGAACCTTGGTGGGAGCTGTTAACATCCAACTGAGCAGTGTCCAGTTCAATGAAGAAAAGTGGTACCCACTGGGAAACAGTGTCATTTAAATGTGAAATGATTCCATTCTTTGCCCATTAATGTTTCTTTACCCCATTTCCCATTTTGTGTCAGTTGCCCTTGAGCACATATCCTGACCATAAGGATATTTATTGTCTTACATTTATTGTCTTACATTTATTGTCTTACATTTATTGTCTTACATTTATTGTCTTACATTTATTGTCTTGGCATCTTCCTGCCACGGGTTCCTGGCACTGTGGGTTTAAGGAATCACGTGCTAAACAACATGCAGGAAGTTCTTGTGGCAGCAAGGAAGGGCTTGGTTTTGTTAATATTAAATAGTACTGTAAAAATACTGAATTCTGCACACATCAGTGTGTTGGGCCTCATTCTTTGCCCATCAATTCCACTGACTGTGTTGAAATAATGCTGATAATGTAATTTATCACCACTGCATGTGATGGGTTCACCAGAAACCATGGGATGCTTCCCTGCCAGTACATGTCAGATGTCCAGCAAATTTCACATTTAATCTTACCCAATCAATACTTTGCTTTTTGAAGAAATTTCAAAGATTTGATACAATGGAACGTTTAATCCAGGATATTAATTTGTCAATAATATTTGTCATTGTTTCTTTTATTCTGCCATCCAAGAGGCAGATCTAACTGGTCATTTGTGTGAAGAAAGAAGGAGGGAGAAGATAATGTTCATGAATAAAGAGAATCTATTGAATGTGAGCTCTCAGTGAGGCATTTATTTAAGATCATGATACCACAGGTATTTGTTCAGCAGTCTTCCCACACTGCACTCCTCTGCTGCATAAGGAATTCAAGTCAATACATGCATTGAGTAGACCTCAGGGCTATAAAAGATATGTTTTTATATTAAATAATGAACAGGAGTGGTTGGTGTAAGTTCACAGATGCTAATTATGGGCTCTGTTTTTCTCTAATTTGAGGAAGTTTTTAATCTTTAAGCATTTGCCATGTGAGCAGCCACAGTGAGCTGTCCCTCCTTGCCAGACTCTTGCCCACACCCACTGACCATTTAAATAAACTTTTCCAGGAGCAGGGGCACATTTTTAAGGCACAGGAGATGTGTTGATTTGTGATCTGATCTGGTGTAAATTTTAAGTGACCACAGACTGGACAGATCTGACATTTGTCCTACCAGGTGGAAAAGCAGTCAACAGAGGGGTAATAATCCCAGAATTGAAGATAATTTTGCCTCCTTCTCCCAAAGGGTGTTCACATCCATCTTCAGAATATAAAGTTGTACAAAGCTCCTGAAGTGGGACTTGGAGTGTTAATTAGCAAATTAAATAAGCTGGAGTTTTTCTCAGCATCAAACCAATGGACTTGACCAGGTTTTATCTGAAAATGCTTTCCCCAATCAATCTGCTCCTCCTCAGTAAGGGGAGGTGAGGGGAACTCTGAGTATTAATATTATTAATTATTAGTTATTCAGAGCTGTAAGAAATTGTCAAATATTTAGCACATGCAAGGGATATTGGCTGGCACACAAAATATCATCATTACAAAGATCAGGACACCAAACATTTTATGCTATAGGTTCTCCTGGGAAACAAATCCAATGCCTTGCCATTCAAACACAGAAAACACTGAGACCAGCTTACAAAGATATTAAATTACCTGACCTTACAGTTCAATATTGATTTTAGATTCCTCTTAGTCTACTGTCTCAGTTTCCTTATTAAAACTATAATGCAATTTTCTAACAGTGTTATTTCCTATGACATTTTCTAACCCTTGCTTACCACATTCCCTGATTTTCCATCTTGGAGCAAGAAAAATAATAAATAAATAATACATAATAATAAATAATAAAATAATAAAACAGCATTAGAATAGCAATAAATAAAAAGAGCATTAGAATATATGATCAGAACTGTCTGCAAACTTAAGTGAAATTGTTTGATATTAAAGAAACTTGTCAATGTAACGTCCATTTAAAAAAAAAATCATATTTGAGTGACAAATCTGCAATTAGTTGTGTAACTGCAGTCCTGTGGAAGGTCAGCAATACTTCAGCTCTGAAAGGAGGATGGGAAATTGTCTTATGGGCAGGATAACACTGATAGCTCTGTTAGGCAAGAAGGTGTCCTCAAAGGTGTTCACTCACATGATCAACCCTTGCTTTTTCCAAAATTCTCTAGTTCTCCTGAAAATATTATTTCCTACTTCCTGAGCTCCCTGTGAGATGTATAGTAAGAGGAATAGCCCAATCATAAGCCACTGTTTACAATTTTAAAAGGAATATTGTATGTAGCATTCTTCCTGTTCCCTTGAAAAGGTACAATGGTAAGAAATTTCATTCAATACAAATAAAATTGTCCATTTCACATGCTCATATTGGAAAATTAGCATGATCTCTCATATATATTGGACTACTATTCTCACTCAATAATTAATCATAAATTTGAAACCAGCTCCAAGTGACATTAACTGAATTTTTAAAAATCCAAAAAAAAGTATTTATGAATTGTTTTTAAATAATCATAGAATAATAGAATCACAGAATGCCTTGGCTTGGAAGGTATCACAGATCCTCTCATTGCAGCCCCATGCCATGGCCAGGGACACTTTGTGGGTTGCTCAGAGCTCCACCCAACTGGCCTTGAACACTTCCAGGGATGAGGAGTCCACAACTTCTCAGGAAACCTGTGCCAGTGCCTCACCACCCTCACAGAAAGGAATTTCTTCCTAATACCCGATTAAACTTCCCTTCTTTCAGTTTAAACCACCCAGCCTTGTCCAATGACTGTGTGTCCTTCTGCTGGAAGGTTCAGGAAGGTCTCCCTGGAGCCTTTTCTTCTCTAGGCTGATCTGCTCCACTTCTCCCAGCCTTTCCTCACAGCACAGGTGCTCCACACCTCTGATCATGTCATGATCCTCCTCTGGACCCACTCCACATCGTCCTTGTGCTGGGGCCCCAGAGCTGAGTGCAGCTTTGCAGCTGGGATGTCCTGAGAGCGGGGCAGGAGGGTGAAATCACCTCCCTTGATGCTGGTTTGATAAAATCTGGGCTGTGTTTCCCCTTTTTCAGCCCATGGGAGCTTCAGCAGCCTGCCATGACTTCTCAAATACGATGGCTGGTGGCTTAGACCAGTTCCCTCAGAACCTGTGGATGTATCTCCTCAGCCCCCATGGACTTGAGCACTTCAAGGCTCCTTAGGTTTTCTCAAACCCAGTCTTTTCCTACAGAAAACAGCAGTAGTGCCAAGGACAATAGACTTTATTCAGGATTCCCCTTCCATAAAAGTCCTGCTGGCTCCATAAAATCCCTGAGAACATGCCACTCTGGCAAGCAGGCCACTGGGCTGTTACAAAGCCAGAAATTCTATTTTATTGAAGCAGGGGACAATCCCCCAGAACAATTTCTCCTGCAGAACATCACTAATAGTACCAGATATGAGCAAAGAGAGATGCAGATTCCAGCTTGGTGCCTTCTTTGGATATGAGAGGAATGTTACGGTAACCTGCAAATGTAATGACACCTTCATTAGTGTATTAATACTTTTATTAGTGTATTAACACCTTTATTAGTGTATTAACACCTTTATTAGTGTATTAACATCTTTATTAGTGTATAAATACCTTTATTTGTGTATTAATACCTTTATTCATGTATTAACACCTTTATTAGTGTATTCATACCTTTTTTAGTGTATCAACACCTTTATTAGTGTATTAACACATTTATTAGTGTATCAATACCTTTATTCATGTATTAATACCTTTATTAGTGTATCAATACCTTTATTCATGTATTAACACCTTTATTAGTGTATTCATACCTTTATTCATGTATTAACACCTTTATTAGTGTATTAACACCTTTATAACTGTATTAATACCTTTATTCGTGTATTAACACCTTTATTACTGTATCAATACCTTTATTCATGTATTAACACCTTTATTAGTGTATTAACACCTTTATTAGTGTATTAACACAAGCACAAATATTATCATGGAGTGTTTGTATGATCATCTATGCAAACAAGGCATCATTTAGGATTCTGTAAAGAGCTCTTTAACATAAAGTGAAATTACACAGGACCCAAACACCATTGGTGCTGTTTTTTCTCCTCTCTATATGTAGTATTTCAATTCTGGTATTTTTAGTCACAGAGTGAAAAAATGTCTGTTTTTTAGGATGTGGGGTTTTTTTTTTATTTTTCAAATGGAAGACTTTCAGCCCAGTGATACTTCAACATGGGCAAATCTTGCATTGTTACATGCAAGGGTATGTGCTGCACACATTGTTCTGATAGCAAATGAAATCAGCAGTGACAGTGCCCACAGAATGGTGTTTTAGCAGCTGGGCACTGTCCAGCTGAGGCAGAAAAATGTGAAGTGTAAGATCTTCTGCCATGACATCTTAAAAGTTGGTTTCATCTGAGTAATGCACTTTATCAAAGGGAAGTCATGCCATCAGAAACTACGTGTTCAGCTGGTTGTTTGAAGCATTTGGAGAAGCCATAGTTCTGTTTCAAACATAATTCACTTAGCAGCTTAGAAAGAAAAACAATCTTCTTCTTCAAAACCCCAGCCTCTATTGCTTTATATGACTAAATGTCCATTATTTCATAATAATAAACAATGTCACTTTCAATAAAATTTTTTCTATATTCTCTCTATGTACATATAACTCCAGTTATTTAAGTAATTCTCTGTTTTGTATCAGTATCTATGTTCTGACTGCACTTTTCAAAATCCCTCTTTAGGTGCATCTGGATGCCTGTGGAGTCTTTGGGACTCACATTTACCTGGGGTTGGAATTTCTTGCTTTTTTTATACAGAATCATAAAATTGTTTATGTCTGAAAGGGCCTCTAAGATCCTGGAGCCCAGCCTTTGACACATCAGCCCCCTGTGAATGTGGCACTAAGTGCTGGCACATCCAGCTGTTCCTTGAGCACCTTCAGGGGTGGTGATTCCACCTCCCCTCTGAGCAGCCCTTTCTAATGCTGGACAACCCTTCCAGTGACAAAATTCTCCCTGATGTCCAACTGCCCCTTCCCTGGCACAGTCTGAGGCCATTTCCCTTTGTT